TAATCAAGGAAGTACCAAGGAGAAAACACCCTTACCAGTACTGATAAGGCAAGCTACTGTATATCAACAGGATGCAAATCCCACTCCCTTCTAGCACTGATGATGTTACCTATTTGGGTAATGAAGCATCTGCCAATAAACAACTAACTTCAGAGAGCACCAAGTTCAACCCTGAACTACATTTATTCTTTTCTATTGAGACTGGACTTTCATATGCTCTCCTCTGCCATCTCACAACCTTACAGGCATACCAAACTCCACCCACAAGAATTAATTTCCTTGTAAATAAAGTTCAAAAACAAATTGTCTTTCATCAAACTGAATGAGAATTGGTCGGGGGAAAACACAGAACCTTTTATCTGACTAGCACTTTAAAAAAACAAGAGGGAAATTATCTAAAATCTTGTATTTCTTTCCAAACAGAAATTGAAACTGTGCATTTTCTACATCTGTAAATTTCCCTAATTTTCCTAATTCAGGGGAAAATAGTAACTTTCACTTCCATTTGAAGTAACCAAGGCAAGAATAAACAAATATTCTGCCTCTCCAAATCATGATGTTGCAGAATAAAAATATAACCCAGCTGCAAAATTGCAATCATAGATATTTTCATGGATGGAGGAAAACCCGGAACAATCCCATACTAATCTGTGCAGAACATGACCAAATGGAGTACCAACAACTGGGAACTAGCTGAAACAAGCAGAAATGCCTACTGAATTCCTGGATTACAGTGTACTAGTGAAATGTGCCATTTCTACACATCCACGCACCATTTCAACACACAAATTTATGGCTAATTCTGCCATAGATAGATACCGTCATCACAGATAATTAGATTTAATCCCCCCAAATAAAAAAGCAAGCTGCAACAGTGCAACTGCAAAGAAACTTACTAAAGAGAAGGCTGTGTTCACACATTATGCTTAACCATGTTATTTTATCACAGTTGATTGACTAAACCACAGGAGGTAGTTCATGCAACATGCTAATCCAAACTAAACAAAGAGCATTACAGTTTAGCACAAACAAGCATGGACTACATCCATGTCTTGATTTATCCCTTTTTCATTTCAAATTAATCCCAAGACCTCAGACTATTTAAATTCCATCTGCAACAGGAATATCTAGGAATGTGCTATTTTGCGTATCCAAATCCCTTGGTTTTAATAGGCATTAACTTTGCAAACAATCAGGCTTTCCAGATCAAACAACCTATGCTATTTCCCCCCCCACCCAGATATAGGGTGACTCCCCACTGCCCCCCACACGTTTAAAACAGGAACACCTAATATTTTTTTAAAAAGCCTCTGCAGATCAATGTTTTATGATGAACCAATATATTCCAAAACACGTTGCTTTTCTCTAACCCCAAACACTTAAAGAAACAGAAGTATAGAGGCAACTACAACTACTGTTGAGATTTTTTTAAAAAATTACAGTTGAGTTAGGAGTGTTTCAAAGAGTTAGGAAAGAAGCCGAAGCGAAAAGGCTGAGCCTAATCTGTCCCCAGAGCATATGCTGGGTATCATGATAAACACATTTTTAAAGATCAAGACCATTGCTGCCCAGGTGGTCGATATTATTTCTATCTCCAATTCCCACCTTATTGTAGTGGAACAACCAATCACTAGGTACATCAGGGAGAACCAATGATTTGTCACTGGTATCTTCCCTAGTAAACCTTCGTGGCTGGGTGATGACAGCACAATAAATCCGAGTTAATAAAACATGATTCCTATTTACATAGTTGGTTATTTAACCTAAATGAAGGACATTATGGCTTCGTGTGATATTTAGGTTCACCTCCCCTCCTCAGGAAGGGTTCCAAGCACAAAACAAATGCAATAGCACTTAAGACTTATCTATTGCTTCGTAGTTCTTTACAGCACTCTCAGAAGCCAGCCTATTGCCCCCAACAATCTGGGTCCTCATTTTACCTACCTCAGAAGGATGGAAGGCTGAGTAAACCTTGAGCCCTGTCAGGATTGAACTCCAGGCTGTGGGCAGACTCAGCCTGCAATACTGTATTCTAACTACTGTGCCACAGGGATCATTCTACCCAACAACACACCTATTCCCCCCCCCATCTAGCAGTCAGAAAACAGACCTGCTCATGTATTTTTTAAATTATCAGTTTTGGAGGGCTTTGGTGAGCAGAGAAGTGACAGACAGAAATGGCAATGCTGGAATAGCTGGGATTTGGGACCTCCCCACTCACCCCTAATGTCTGTGTCTCTATTGCTGTTCCAGGTTTTCCTAGCTGTATTAACTCCATCTCTTGAATGCATCGTGGGTTGTTCTATTAAGGATAGAAGAGAAATGACAGGCAGAAGAGGTGCAGGAAGGAAATTTGCCTGCTCCACTCCTAAACAGCACCTACAAAACTATTTATTTTTTTTTGGAGAACTGCAAGGAGTGAACATGAAGGTACAGTTAGGTATCCATGGGTCAGATGGAAGTGACATCATAGTTCTACATTTCATCATGCAATATTGCATGTAATGTTATATATGCCAGATGCTTATGATTGAGATCATGGCCATGATTAGGAAATGGCTGAAAACCATACCTTAAACTTGATTTGATCCCAGTTCAACCATGACTTTTTTAAACAATTAAGTGGAAAAATAATTAGATATAAACATCCAGCCTTTGAGAATATTTCTGGTCACTCTTTGTGAGCAAAACCTCTTTGGGTACTTCTTCTACTGGTAGAGCAAGGACAGAGGTGAAGTTCAGGAATAGATTTTGCCAGTTACTGTAGTCAGATGTTTTGTCTTTCAGCAGTGATGAAGTCCACTCCCATTAAAACAGGGGTGTGCAGTATCCCAATGTGATTGCTATTTGCAATTTTCCCAGTTGGCTTCCAACAAGTAAAGTCAGCGGGGGAATTGACTTTGAGCTGATTTCCTTAATAACCACATGATTCACTTAACAACTGCAATTATCTGCTTAACAAAAAAGTTATAAAACTGGATGTGACTCCTTCTTAACAGCAATTTTGCTTAGCAAAATCACAAGTCAATGACAACCCTTGACTTGTGTATATAAGTGCTTTCATTTTGTAATAAAGGTTTTCAAGGAAAATATTTTACCTCCTAGTAGGCATGTTTCAAAATCTTATGCACACATCAATAATCAGATCAGGCAGGCAAAGGTATGTACATGCACTCACACACAATCTTTCTTAAACCGTTTATTCCAAGTAAGATCACCAATGCAATGACTACAGTGATTGTGGCTCATTTCACAGCACAATCTTATGTCTATTCAGAAGTAAATATGACTTCAGATAAACTTAGGGACTACTGTACAGCCTGAGTTTCTTGCAGACAAGGGGGCATGGCTAGGTTGCAAACACTCTCTAGCCACAAATGACACATTTGTGCTTATTTAGTACTTTCTTGTAGTACTTTTCTATGTGTGAAGTCTTTCTAATAAACGTTTACTGCAAATTCATAGAAGCCAATTAATGTTATCCTTTAACATCTGCTTGTATTTTTTGTTTGTTTGCCATTTATAAGTGAAGCAAGTCTAATAAATTTATTAGACAAAATGTAAAAATTGTGAAAGAACTTGGTCATTTCATGAGTGGATCTATTGCTTGTCATTTTATGCAAGGTGCTAGGAAAGGAATTCTTTTTCAAATAGCTAATGAGAATTCTTTTGCTCTGATTGCAAAGGGTTCTTTTCAGGAAAAACATGCTAGCGAACAGCAAGCCACCTTCTACTACAACAGATATCAAAGGTGATGTGGGCTTTGCGAAAGCATGACAAATTCTGATATCCACACTTTAAAGAAAACAAGATGCATTTCTTGAACAGAGAAAGCCACTCCATGTGTTCCTGATTATCACTTGAAAGGATGGGAGCATTCCCTGGTCCAGAAAGGCTTATGTAGGCATGGTTCATTATTATTCATTACATATTATCTGTGCTACCTCTGAGGACATCAAGGTAACCCAGATCCTTTACCATCTTAGCACCCTAACACCTTGAAGTTTTGCTAAAGCAAGCTGCATCCCTGAACAGAACAGTACCTTGATTAATATCATATGAAATACTCTATACAGGTAGTTCTTGGCTTCCAACAGTACCTGAGCTGTATTTCATATGAGTGTTCCAAGTTACAACAGCATTGAAAAAAAGTGACCTATGACCATTTCTTTTTCACACTTTTGACCACTGCAGCATCCCCATGGGTCACATGATCAAAATTCAGATGCTTGGCAACTGATTCATATTTATGACGGTGGCAGAGTCTTGGGGTCACCTTTGTAAACTTCTGACAAGCAAAGTCAATGGGGAAGCCAGATTCACTCAACAGCCATGTTACTCACTTAACAACTGCAGTGATTCACTTAACAACTGTGGCAAGAAAGGTCATGAAATGGGGCAAAACTCACTTAACAAATGTTTCAGCAACAGAAATTTTGGGCTCAATTGTGGTGGTTAAATCGAGAATTACCTGTTCTATGGTAACTGGGTCTTGACCTGTAGACTACACAACCTAGGACTATAGTCTTGCCACACAATTTTGTCTACTCCAAAGCAAACTTCATACAGCAGGGCTCACTTCCTAACATCTCTACAACTAGAAATCTGTATTTTAAGATGGAGAAACTCAACATGTTCCAATGAGAAGCTCCTAAGTGAAAACAAGAAGGCTTGTTTCTGAATAAATATATCTAAGGTCTAGTAGATTCATTTTTGGAGCATTTGGATCAGATACAGTACAGCTCATTTGGGAATATTCTGGAAAAAACAATCATTCAACTTCTCAAACGCCAACTTTGGCAAAGTAAAATGCAGGTAAACGCTAGTGAAGGAGAGAAGAGAGCAAAAGGACGTGTCATTTTAAAAAGTCAGAGAATTCCAATCTACAGAAGCTCATAGTAAATTAAACCTCTTCCCGAAACATCCACTTCTGGTTTGGGGGAAGAAGACACATTTATACAACAGAGGGTATTCTTTAAGCATTGAGAGATTCACAAAAGGCTGAGAAACAACATTTTAATAGATGAAATAAATACTCCAGTACATGCAAGATTAAAAAAAAACACTGAAAAAATAATAATTAAAAATCAAAATCACTCATTGTTATAGTGTAATTTACCCAATCCCTATTTTAACACACTCACAGTAGCTCCCCCATTGAAAAGTGACACCCAGCCTCATTTGCTTTCCCTGCAAATGCACTTCTAACCCATCACTCGATTCAAAAGTAACCATACAAAACAAAACAAAACTCATAGCTACACCCATTCTTAAAAGTTTTGTCTTCCAGAGTGTATGAAAACTGAGGTAACTTTTTCTCCCTCTCCTTTTTTCTTCTTCCTGCTCAACTAAACAAATAAAATCTAGGAGAAGATTTTGGTAGAACCACCCTCCTCCCACAAAACCCCGTATCTCCTAACATTTTAAAAATCGCATCCAGCACGATTAAAGCTTGGACCCACCCCCGTCAGTAAACCTTTCCCAGGATTACTGTAACCCCTGTTTGACCACAGGCTTCAACAAAAGAAGGAAGCAATGAACTCTGCTCTTCTATGAAACTATAAGCAGAACCAGCTTGGATGCAAGCCTTAGGGAATCATTCCAAAGTTTACTAAGCCTGGGCAAGGTCCTAGGAGCCTGCTGGCAAGACAGCAATAGAAGAACAGGGAATTTAAATCACTTTGTGCAAGGCCTACAAAAGAGGAGAGCCTTGTCCTCCAAGAACTGACCTTGATTTTGGGCCAAGCAGAAGGAAGTAAGGACCTGCAAGTTTCCTTTGCTCGCTTGCCTGAATGGAATTCTACCTGCCTGTCTTTGACCATTACAAGCTGCCTACAGTTCCATGCTTAAATGTAAGGCTGCTTGGATAATTTAAAGATTTTTTTTTGGGGGGGGGAATGTGCATCCTGTTCCCTCCCCCAGGTAAAACATCCATGCCGATTATGACATGTAAGCTAAAAAAGCATATGGTTTCACAGCCTCCTCACACTGTTACTTTAGCAATAAGAAGAATTAAGGGACTGCGCTACACAAATTCTTTGGCATACGAAAAGAAAATCTGGGGCAGGAAAGGGATGTCATATCTTTATGTTAGCCATGCAATCTAAAAATGAATAGATTAATTCACAGAATTTGCATTTGCTGGTGGTAAAGTCCGGGGTGACGAGCGTTCCCTTAGGGCCTGAGATAACAGGTTGCAGCCGTCGGAGACCGCACACGCCGAGTTCCTCAACCTTTCCCTGTATTCAGTCATCTTGGTGCTACTGTCGTTGTGTTGGGCTATATCCCTGAGGCATTGAGTAAGGAGCACACAAGCCGAGACGACACTCATCGCGCCGCCCAAAATGGCTGTCTGCACAGCTTTGCCCTCTGGGTTGATGGTGGCCGCTCTACCCAAAAACTGAGGCTCTGTGGCAAAGCCAACCAACGCACACACAGACTGCACCAAAGGTCCACTAAACAAGACGCACCGGTTGCGTGTCAGCTCGCTGGGAGACGTCTTGACCTCCCGGACGCAGGCCAGGAGAGCAGAGGCGCTGGTGCTCATACATTTGACGCTAAGCTTGAACTGCTCCTTGGAAAACCTATCCTTGGACTTCTCACTGGCCAGGACACAGGCATCGGTCAGGAACTTCAAGTTCTTGGACATGTTCTGAGAGACCTCTAAAAGGAGCTGAGGGCTTAGGTCAACCAGAGGGGTACTCTTCAAGACCCCACACCCATGTTCCACCTCGTGCTTACATCTGGTCACTTTATAGCGATCCACCAAGCCGGGTAAAGCCGGCTGAGCCCCTGGCGTCTCCACCGCTGCCAGGTAAGCGGCGTGGGCCGAGCACTCTGTCAAAGAGACCACCAAGTCCCCCATCTCTCCCAGGATGTCCCCCACCTCGGTGAAACGGCCCATGTTGAGTTGGCTCTGGGCGTCATGGGTCAAAATGGAGAGGCCTTTGGTCCTGGCGATGATGGTGTCCCTGCACTTTTCAAAGGATTCTCCGAAGACAGACAAGCTCTCCGTATGGACAGGCCGGCTCTCGCTGGTTAGCAGGAGCAGATCAGCTACCAGCTGCATCTTGATCTTGCAGAGGTCACAGGTGGCCACAAGCTTCTTCCTTGGCAAAGAGCTGCTGCCGGGGGTGGATGTCTCAGCAGTGGACTTCCCAGAGCCGCCGCTAGCCATGGTGCCGGAGGGGCACACGCATGCCTCTGGGGACCCCACTGCTGCCACCACTCCACTTCCAGCTGCCTCCCGAGGAGTCCCCGCTGAGCCCGGCAGGATCGCTCTGCCCTTTCCGAACCATCATTCCATTAATCTGCACAAATAAACCAGAGTCTCGGAGCACCAGAGGAAGAGGAAAGGGGCTGGTAGACCCACCACCAAGTCAGAATCAAGCAGAAGCGATCAGTGCCCCTCCACCTTCCCAAGATGCTGGCACTCCAGACACCGGTCACAACATCCAGCCTGTGGATGAAAAACGCTGCGGTGGCCGCCCCTGGCTCATGGGACCCACAAACCCTCGGTTCTTTAAGGGCATCTTCGCGGCTCTGGCTGACTTTTCTTTCGGAGAGAGGCGAGGAAGAACCCAGCCGCCGCCGCGATGCAGACCTGCCAATACAAAGAGCAACGTTAAAACTTCCCGGCTGGGTGGATGGGTGACTGGCTTCATTCGGCCGGGTCTCGCCTCCCCCAGCAAGCCAGGCACCCCCGACAGACTTCACGCCTTTCCGAGGGAAGCTGGCCCCGCGGGCAGTAAAAGCGCAAGACCGACGCGCCGCCCGTTTGCTCTGCCGCCCCCCTGGCGCGGAAAGCGGGAGGGCACCGGTCTTCCTCTCCCCGCTATCAGGAAGAGCAGGCGAGGGTGTGGCCCGGCTCAGCATGAGCAGCCCAGCAGCAGCAGCAGCAGCGACGACGGCGGGCGGAGAGCGAGGGAGGGGAGGGCCGGCTGGGCTCGACAAGAAGCGTTTTTACGCGCTCACCTCCGGAGCAAAGCAGGACACGAGCGTCCGGGAGAAGACGCGGCGCAACGGGCGGGCGAGGCAGCGCCTCTTGCTCGGCGGCCACCTTCCTTCCTTCGCCGACCAGGAATCCTCTGGGCCGTTTTTTCTCCTCTTTTGCCCCGATCACACCACCCACTTGGCTCCCCCGTTTCCGGGAAGACGCATCTCCGGCGGCCTCCAAGGCGTTGGCGCATCCGCTTGGCGGGTGGAGAACTTCGGGCTCGCGTCGCCGGTCAGGTGGAGGGCTGCCCGGGGAGCCCCTGGGGACGGGATCCTCGCTGGCTTCGGTCTCTTCCTCCGGCCATGGCTAGCTTTTCCCCCCCTTGAGGACGCCCCGACTTCCAGAAGGGTGGAGGGCTCCGAGGCCGGAAAGCAACACTTCCTATCTGCGGGGAGGAGCGGGGTTGGGGAGGGGGGGGTGTCTCCCGACTTCCCAACTTTCTTTTAAAAAGTGGGGGAGGGATGCCTGCTAAGCGGCGCCCGCCTTTGCGGTGGCTTCCACCGCCCGGCGGGGATGCCTTGGCTGCTGCAGGGCTGGGAAGGGCGGGCAGCCGTGCGCCCTAGCCGACGCGCCTGCTTGCTTGCCTGCCTGCCTGGCTCCCTCCCTCCGCCGCCCTTTTCCCTCCCGTTGCCTCCGCTGCAACCTCGCCTTAAGCCTATAGCAATCTTTTGTGCGGCTTGTCGCCGCCCTTCCTTTTAAATGCCCACGCCCGCTGCTTACGGAAAACTCCTCCCCGGTGGAAGAAAGGAGAGGAAAGGCGGGGCGGCGGTAGCAGCGCCGCCGCCGCTGCCGCCGCCGGTCTCCAGCTTCGCGTTGGCTGCTGCGCTCCCGGGTTGGGTTCGGGTCTGCGCAAACCTCTGCTTGGCTTCTCCTAAGGGCCAGCGCGGCTGCTACCGCACTTGACACACATTCGCCTTCGGGCGCCTGTCCAGCCTGATCTAAATTGTGCATTCATTCAGGACGAAGTCCTCCCCCCCCCTTTTTAAAGAAAAAGTTATGACTGCATTAACCTGAACGGAAGGTTAATTCCCACCTACCCACCCTTGTTATCTTTAAAACGGGAGTTCTCGCTTGGAGGACTTCAAAGCGAGGCCATCCATTATTAGTAATAATAGTCCCCAACTCTTGTTAGCTGAGAGGCTGGCAACATTGTTGATGTCTCCGATGCCCACGGAGTTTTCCCGAAGCCAGCTGTTTTGTTTTGATTGTTTTGCCCCTTCCCTTCTTCAAGCTAGAGAAATAAAGGGAGGGGGGCGAAGGGAGGAAGAAATAATAACAATGCAAACTAATGAGGTCAGCCCATTGGTCTTGCAAGCTGATTGGGTCGCAGTTTTGTTCCTGCTGGCCAATTAGAAAACAGCACAATTTAAATAATTTTAAAAGAGAGAGAGAGAGAGAGAGAGACCTGCGCTGTCTTTCATTATTGGACGCGTTCCCGATGTTTAAAAGAAAGGGGGAAAGTGTGCATAAAACCGTTAAAACAATAGGTCATAAAATGAGAAACCAAAACACCACCGTTTTAACACCTCGTGATCCCATCAATGTCCGTGAGAGGTCGAAGGCTGGGTTTCATCCTGCAGCTGGTTCGGAAAAGCATTTCTGAGAACCGGTTGCCCGGATTCGCGCAAGATATAAGATAAAATGGCTTTGCACTTTGTTGGTTCACAATGTACGGAGCAAATTTCTGCCTGCAATATAGGCTTCGTTTGTGGATTGTTTGGTGCATGCAAACCCAGGAAGTTGTGTTAAGGCAGTCCACCGCCTGTAAACTGCTTTTGAACATAAGCCACCTCTTGTGACAATCTTGCTTTCGTCATTCCTCACAATCTAGATTGGCACGTCTCAGGCAAAGCCACGGTGGGCATTGCTTTTGATTTAGCTTCTGCCAACCTACTATTTATATTTGCTGGTGTTTGCTTCAAGCATTAACAAGTTGTGTAAACATAACATTGTATAGTTTGAAGGGGCCAGTTAAGCCATTGAATTCAACCCTGTAATCTTCATGAATCAAAATCAAACCACCCCTGACAGAGGACCGAACCTGTCTAGTGGAAAGAAGTTGATCGCTTTTCAGGTTCATACATTTGTACAAGCCATGAATGATATTTGTTTCTTAAATAAACTCTAATCTGTTTGTGAATTGGTACCCTTTGTGGTGCCCTGAGTCACATAGTTTGCAAACCAAGGTGGTTCAGTTCACCCACATCCAAAATGAACCACATTATGGTTTATGGTACCTATAGCCACCCACCCCAGATTATAGAAGGCTGATTAGTTTTTTTCTTATTAAAATCTAATCAGAATTGTACACTAAAATGATTAGGCTTTGCCTACAGACCCTGAGAGATTCTCTGGCTTTGGAGATTTCAGAAACCTACCCACATTTTTGTAGATATAGCTAGTTTCAAGTAGTGCTGATAATAAATCCCATGAAATTGTCAGATTATTTGAATTTGCACTATTCAGAGTGAGATATTTGTGGGTAACTGGTTACAGCCTGACAGAAATGGGCAATGAAAAATTTTAGGCATATTTTTTATAAATTTATTAATATAAGAGTAAAATATCAAAAGAACATACCTACAACTTAAATTCAGGTTTAACAAGGTTACAGAGTAGTTTCTAGTTTCTAGAGTAGTTCTAGAAACCAAAATAAAAATAAAATATTAAGTATCAGTCCTATCTATCTTCTAGACAGATCTCATAAATACTTAAATAATTTGCATGGAAGATAAATTCATATACAAACTTTATCTTGTATCTTGTTTTCTGAAGTACTTCTTTGGAATGAACCTTTACTTTTTTTTTAGCTTTTCCTGAACAATGGGTCCTTCCTTTTCTCTGTTTTGCACACATTTTTTATTTCTCACCATGTCATATCATATATCATACCATATCATATCACATGCCAATTAATGTCCAAGACCCCAATGCTTTAGACTCACATTGGATTTTGGCTTGCATTAAACCGCAACCTGATTGGAATGTATAATTCACACTTAAATATCTCATGAATCAAACTCACATTAGTTGTGACCTACCTGTGTACATTCTCCAGGGCTAAAGGGAGCTTTCTGCCAAAGGGAAGTCAAGATATCAATTCTGTAAATGAATGAAAGGCTGGTCAGAAACTTCCTGGGTTGCACATGAATACAGTGATCAAAAGAGCTACAAGGTTAGTAAAAGTGACAATTGCTTTGTGAGTTTGCCGAAGGCAATTGCTAGATTTCTGAGGCTTCTGTGAAAACCTTTCCATACATTTCAGGAAATATAGACCAGGTGCTTCTGCCACAGCTGAGCAACATATGGGGTTAGGTTATAAACAATGCAAGTCAGGAAGGGTGGGAGCCAACTTAATTTCTACGCAAATGTTGTGAACTCCTTTGATGTTAATGAAAATAGGCCCAAAAGGGAGTCTCCAATTCCTGTTCCCCATTTAAAAATAACAAAAACCACACAACCACAGTTGTTACTCTGATAGTTAGCCCGGGGCTAAACTCTTTTTTTAAAGTATGCTAAGAAGTCATCTAAAAACACAACCTGGCATTTATCGTTAAAATATTATGAATATGTATGTATGTATGTATGTATGTATGTATGTATGTATGTATAATATTTAGTTAAAATAAGTATGTTTATCTATAAAAATATAAATTATTTATGGACTTATTAGTATTCTGTCAGAGGATTGAGCAGCAGCTGTCCCTTTTAGTAATAAACTGACTACCGACCACACAGTTTATGGATTGTGATTTTAGTATAGTTAGACCATGTATAATTCCAGACTGGATTTTATCATAGATTTTATCATAGATTTTATCTGTTATTATTGTATTTTAGAATTTTTAATGATATATTTATTGGGTGTTTTTATTTGTTCTGGTCTCTGGTCTATGACTGTAATAAATTCTGATTCTGATTCTGTCCAGATAAAAGTCACAGACACTAATAAAAACTGGTAGTCTTTTAAATATATACACATATTTATCATTCAACATCATCCAGAAAGAATAAATGCAAGATAGTCAGGAACACAGGGAAACAGGAACATCATGAGGTAAATCAAACAGTATATAGAACACAAAGAAAAAAAGGCGGGAAAATGGGAACAATAAAATAGAATAGAATAACAGAGTTTGGAAGGGACCTTGGAGGTCTTCTAGTCCAACCCGCTGCTTAGGCAGGAAACCCTGGTTATCCACTCTCTTCTTTAAAATCACCCACTTTGTACTTATGGCAACCAAACATAGTGTAGATTGCCTCAGATATGAGTCAGCACTCTTTAATCTACTATAATTGTGTGTTCTGGCCTTTACTGTTCCAGCTACTATTATCTATTATTAAATATAAATTATTTATCTGTTTATTTGTATTCCACTTAAGGGGGGGCAAACATATCCAATACACCTTCCTCTTCCTACTTTCCCTCACAACAACCCTGTGAGGTGGGTTGTGCTGAGAGGGAGGGACTGGGAGTGTGGTGGTAGCATCTCGTGTGGCCCTCGTGGGTGTGGGTCTGGTGTCATTCTTCATGTTAGGTACTCATTTGTTAATGAGGGCGGGTTTCCAAATGGCTGCTGGCGGGAGGTATCATCTCGTTTATTCATGCTGTGTGGGCGTTTTTCTATCTCTATGGCTTCTCTGATTATTCTGTTGTTGAAGTGTTCGGTTTTGGCGATAGTTCTGGTATTTTTAAAGTCAATCTCATGTCCTGTGGCTTTGAGGTGTTGGACCAGGGAAGAGGTCAGTTCTTCTTTTTTGATTGACTTCTTGTGTTCTTCAATGCGTGCACTTATTCTTCTGTTAGTTTGTCCGATGTATGTGGTAGGGCAGGCATGGAAGAAACCCCAACCAAAATCCAAGACAGAGAACAAGAGAACGGCAAAGCCCTCCTCCCATATATAAAAGGCACTACAATCAGCAAGATCCTCCAAAAACACAAGATTAAAACAGCATTCTGCACAAACAGAAAAATATCCACCATCCTAAGAAACCCTAAAGACAAAATCGAGTTAGAAAACCAAGGAGTATACGAAATCCCTTGCACCGCCTGCCCCACCACGGTACAGGTATCCTGGTCTTGGTGTGTTCAGGTCTTTTCCCGTGTAAGATTAAGAGTATCTTGGTCACGTTTCGGCGAGGTCCCATGCGCCATCCTCAGGCTGGTGCCAGATGGGAATATATATATATATATATGTTCCCATCTTCTGGAGAAGGCTTCGAATGTAATACAGGAAATGTAATTGTGCATATTCTTACACATTGTGCTTAACTGGTTGGATTCACTTCTTATCAAGGCTATTTTCTATTGTGCCAACCAGCAAATTGTAGTTCCATCAGTCTTACATCAATCTTAATACGAGGTTCTGTTGTACAGGTAGTCTTTGGCTTATGATCACAAAGGAGCCCAAAGCTTCCATTGCAAAGTAATACATTTGTTAAGTAAATTTCTATTTTATGACCTTTCTTGATACAGTTAAGTAAGTCACTGCAGTTCATAACACAGTTATTAAGTGAATCTGGCTTCCCCGTTGACTTTGTTGGTCAGAAGGTCGCAAAAATGTGACCTCGGGACACTGCAAACATTATAAATGCATGCCAGTTGCCAAGTGTCTAAGGTTTGATAAAATGACCATGGGGAATGCTACAAACAGTGAAAAACGGCAATAAGTCACTGCTATTATAACTTTGAACAGTCATTAAACAACCTGTTATAAGTCCAGAAATACCTGTACACAATAGTGGTTCTCAAGGGTTTTCCATCCAGAAAAGGCTACAATATGTTGCAAACTACTTGGAAGTCAATTAAGAGAAAGACCAATTAAAAGAAAACAAACATTTGCAATGGCTAGTGTGTAGTGAACCAACTTCCTGATACTGCAATATAAAGATTGTGTTTACAAGAAAATAGCAAACTTCATCCCTTGTTTGGCACTTCCAGATTCAGAATTTAGATTCAGAAGTAAATCACCTGCAAGTTATGGAGCTTTCTCCAAAGGAAGTTTATACAAGATTACAGTTTGGATTGGGACGCTTGTCTCGGATTATCTCATGTAACGAACACTGAATTTCTGCTGGCTTTTTTAAAGAGAAGAAAACGAGAGGAATCAAACAAGCACGTTTACAATAACACCCCCCCCCCGAATCCAAAGTAGTACAGCCCGCCCCCCTTTTCTTCTGCCTCACTTGTAAAGCTCCTTGCTTAAAAAAGTGCTTGTCGCGCCCAGCGCCTCCCGATTTTTCCTCGTTTCAGGCCTGGTGCGCCTGCGCAGAGGTCTCCCCGCCAGGCGGGCGGGCGAATCTTTGACTTCCGACTCTGCTTCCGAGGTGGGCGGGAGAAGATGGCGTCGGCCTGCTGGTGGCTGTGCCTGGTGGTGGGTCTCTGCGCCTGCTTGGCGGCTGCGGAGGAGCCGAAGAAGAGCTCCAACAAGCCGGGGAAGAAGAAGAAAGACATTCGGGACTACAACGATGCCGACATGGCGCGGCTGTTGGAGCAATGGGAGGTATAGGCGAAGAGGAAGAGGGGGAGGAAACTTCTTAGATGCCCCCACTGCCCTCTTTCCCCCTTTCCTGCCCTCTCAGGAGCGAGGCTTGGCTTCCCTTGGTTCCACCAAGCACCCTCAATCCTAGCTAGTGCAATAAGCCACCATTGGCTAATGCAGACAACGTGTGTATCCTTAGACCATGATTTGCAAAGGTCATTTCAGCCAGTGTGGTAAGCCCAAACTAAAAAAAAATAATTTAAAAACCTGGATCTCAGGCCATTCAGCAAGGCTGGTGCGGCAGTTTTGGTCACCACACTATAAAAAAAAGATGTTGAGACTCTAGAAAGAGTGCAGAGAAGAGCAACCAGGATGATTAGGGGACTGGAGACTAAAACATGAAGAACGGTTACAGGAACTGGGCCTGGCTAGTCTAGTGAAGAGAAGGACCAGGGGTGACAGGAGAGCATCTTCCAATATTTGAGGGGCTGCCACAGAGAGGAGGAAGGGGCCAAGCTATTTTCTAAAGCCCCCAAAGGCCAGACAAGGAACAATGGATGGAAACTGAACAAGGAGAGATTTAACCTGGAAATAAGGAGAAACTTTCTGACAGTGAGAACAATCAACCCATGGAACAAGTTGTGGGAGCGTCATCACTTGAGACTTTCAAAAAGAGATTAGACTGCCATTTGTCAGAAATGGTGTAGGGTTACTGCTTGGGCAGGGGGGTTGGACTAGATGACCTACAAGGTCCCTTCCAACTCTGATTATCTGTTATGGCACTATTTCACCCCCTGGGTGCTGCTAAGCTATCCTGGGTGTTGGGTGGATCTGGCCATCGTGGTCACTTTGCAACCCATCAATCTTCAGGTCCTCCTTCACTGAGTGGGGGAGAAATGTGGGCGGTCTGAAAATGGGAGGCGCATTCAATAAAGGCATGCATTTTATGCATGTATTCACTTTGCCCATCTTGGCATGTGTGCCTCTGGGTGGCACACAGCCGACAAACAACGAAGTTGCTTGTTGAAGTTGCTTGTTTTTTTTGATAGAGATCAAAATAAAATCTGAAAGTCAATTTCAAGCATTAACCTCTTTCGAACCCATTTGTCCATCCCTCCAATGCTTAAAAAATTAGAAATAAGAGAATTAGAATATTTTAGAACTGGATAGCTTTTCCAAATCTGTGCTGGGTTAAACTCTTATCTCTGGTTGGCTGAGGCTATGGGTAGTTATGATCCTGTACATTTGAAGGGAAATTGGGGAAAGCTGGAATATGGTGCGATATAATCCTCATGATTGTTTTTTGTTGGTTTTGCAAGGGTGATTTAGTTGAGTAACGAAACTCCGCATTGGTGACAGGAAGGGCATCTGGCCATTAAAACACTCTGCTAGCTCCATTCAGTTGCCCAGACTCCACCCCGCAAGGGATTATGGGGTCGTTAATGAAGATGATGATTTAGTTGACTAGCAAATTGAGTTGTAAAGGATGCAAAAGGAATGAATAAGTGGTTCTATTTTTCAGGGATCCACTTATATCCCTTGTAGATGATGAAGGCTTTTCTTTTCAAAGTCTTTTTCAAGGTTCCTGTTTTGTTTCAAAAACAGGAGGATGATGATATAGAGGAAGGAGATCTTCCTGAGCACAAGCGCCAATCTGCACCAATCGACTTCTCCAAGATCGATCCAGGCAAGCCTGAGAGCCTCTTGAAAATGACCAAAAAGGGGAAAACTCTCATGATGTTTGTCACTGTGTCCGGAGAGCCAACGGAGAAGGAGACGGAGGAAGTTACAAACCTGTGGCAAGGAAGCCTTTTCAATGCCAATTACGATGTACAGAGGTAAAAGCCTTTAGAGTTATGTGATTCTTCCCCCGCCCCCTGGATTTCTTTTTGCTGGAGAAAAAAATAAATCAAAATAGGTAGCATTCTCCCAGTTACAACAGTGATTCCCTGTGTCCCATTTTAAACATGACTCATCTTTACTGCTGGTTGCAATGTTCCATGGTCATGTGATCATGATTTACAATGTTTTTTTGGACAGTTTCTGGCAAAAAAATGCCCCTTAAACACTAATCCAATTTTGCCATAGATCTGTTTTAGGTTATACTTCCACACAGGTTTGATACAGATGTTTAGTATTTTATTTTGAAGCACCATGGGATGTGTGTGTGTGTGTGTGTGGAGTAGTAGCTTTTATGTCATCACACTCAAATCTTAGAGCTTCCTCTCTCTCTCATTCCAACTTGTATATAAGGCTCCATTTAAACCAGTGGAAAAGGTCTTTAAAATGTAATAAAACTATTGTTTACTATAATAAATCCCAATTTGAGCACCATTTACTTTTTTAAATGCAGTTAATCCTTGAACATCTATCCAGATTGTGGATGTATTTATTAATCATATTTATATGACCGCCCAACTCTCACATAGTAGCTATAGGTAGCACATAATCTTATTTCTGGATTTCTGTTTCCTGAAATGTAGGAATTTAGCAAAGACTAACCGAATATCTTCTGAAATCCAGGTTCATTGTCGGTTCAAACCGTGCCATTTTTATGCTGCGTGACGGAAGCTACGCGTGGGAGGTCAAAGACTTTCTGGTAAATCAAGAGAGATGTGAAGATGTCACTTTGGAAGGTCAAGTCTACCCTGGTAAAGGAGGCGGAGGAAAAGAAAAAAATAAACTGAAGTCTGAAAAACCCTCCAAGAAAAAAGACACAGGTGTGAAACCTGGAACCGTTAAGGACAGCAACCGTGCAAGTAGAGGAAAAGAGGATCTTTGATAAATGCCCTGAAATACTGTCAAAGAAGTTTAGAACATTTCAGAAAGAGAAAACAGGATTGGTTTTGCAAGTTTCGAAGTATTAATGGTTAAGGGAACAGTTTACTTATTAACGAGAGGCATTCCTTTAGAAATGGCAGTCGGTTAATGGCTGTGGGCTGCTTACATTCAATCAACTATTAAGTCTCAGCTCCCTATCATTTAGTATTATGGACTTTGTCCAGAAGGGTGGTTGAGAGGGTCACCATTTGGAGAACTGATTCTTACAGGTGGTATCGCAGATGGATCAAAAGAATAGGGAGAAGGAAAAGCAAAACTTAGAAGGCAGCTGATTTTCCCCCCAATATTTTGATTAATCCAAATTAACAATACACTTTCATTGCATTTTAAATTCGTAGCTTGAGATTTGTCACTGATTATATACAAAAACAGATCCAGAGTGACAGTTTCTACGTTTATTTGCTTTTAAAATCCTGATAATCCAGTATTCCACACTGAAATGAAAATAAAACTTTCTGTTAATTAGCTAATAAGGCTAGGGGATTGCCACACTAAATCGGATCGATGTACCTCTCATTCATTGATTGAAGTAATATAAAATGTGAGGAATGCTCACAGATGCCGCTCAATTGATTGCAAAAACAAAAGTGTGTGGGAATGTATGATTTTTCTGTGGATAAACATATCCATGCAATGGATATATTTTACAGGTTGCGTTGATTTTTTTAAAAATGTTAATTGGAAAAGTTTGCAGCCATTGTATTGGATTTCATTTGCTGTTACTGTTTTATATTCAGTGCCATGGAAAATGTGCAATACTTGGAACAGCCATGGCAGTTTATTCTTTGGGGAAAAGAAGAGGTAACTAAGGACAAGTTGCTGTCTGTGTGAATGCTCCCTCCAAAACTTCAATAAATTTCTATAATTTTTTCAGAAGAGATAGCTGTTTGGAATTCCTTATCCATCTTTCTTTCTCTTACTGTGATACCTGATGTCAGCCCAGACCATCCACATGGTGGTGCTGTCTGTACGCCAAACAACAAAGGAAGTGTGCTTGTTTTGAAGTCTGGCTAATGTCATGTGCAAAATCTCTTCCAGAAGCTAGGCCTGTTTTAATAAATTGACATTTTACATGCTTGCTGCTTTGAACTTTAGAGGGCGATTGGAGCGATAATTTACTGCTTATCCTTGATGTTAAATTTATCTGCTTCTTCCTTCCATTTTCCCGCCTTCTTGATTTTGTTTTGAAAGTTTTTCTGGCATTCAGCTTGCAAGGACAAGGACAAGTAGGTGCCTTTTTTTGCCAGCAGGTTAAAAGATTTCTCCTGTGGATGAAATGGTGGTGTTTAAAGAAAAGCAAAATACTTGGGCTTTTTTTTTTTTTTGAGACCTCGAATGAGTTGCCATAGGCAAGATGAGAAACATGCCTAATGGCTTATTTGCATGATAGATAAATTTATTGTCGGCTATTTTGTAGTTATTTGTGAAATGAGATTCCAAATTATCACTTCCATTATGTGATGATCCGGGGCATGGTACAAAGGCAACCCAATCACATAAGTAAGAAAAATCCCTTTAATACCTCCAACTTTGCCCCCAATGTCCAGTTACCCTCAGCTGGAGAAAAAACTCTCCCAAGAACTCGAGGGGCGAAGTGTGTGTGTGGAGGCATAAGTGGAGGAAATTCAGTCCGAAAACAAAGTATATATAAACTGTAAATAAAAATACACACAAACCATGCTGCAGCAATTAACTGGACAGGGCAGGATAAAGAATTGCAGACTTCAAAGGCCAACAAAACACATACAATTGGGAAGATGCCAGGAACCCAAATAAGCTTTGACAAACAAAGATAACTCACGGTTGCTTCCCGCAACTTTGCTGTGCGTAGCTTGCCTTTTTAAACACTATTTTCCCAGCTGCAGCTAATGAAGGGAATCAGGGCCATTTCCTCCCCTGTAAGCCATGCAACTCATGTTGCTCCCTTGTCTGCTCCTCCCTGCGTGCCTAGGATGAAGAGGAGGTGGGCCTCGATCTTCCTCTGAATTCCCTCTACCTTGCTCTCCCTCTCTCCTGCTCTGCCCAGCTGGACTGTGCCCTTCCCTTGTTTCTTCCACAGCCACCGAAGCCACACTCCCACTCCCTGTCAGCTGCTCAACCTCCCCCTCAGAGTCAGATTCCAACAGGGGCATGACACAGTGCAAAACTTTTGTCAACCAAGAGAGGGGGAAAATGGGGTGATGGCAGAACCATCTGTAAAGTAGCGGAAAAAGCAGCTTCAACACATTAACAAATAGATAAAGAGCTTTCAAGTGCTGACAGGCTTTTTGAAATAGATGTGCAAACATCCTGAAATTTCCAAAAGGCAACTGGGCTCTTGGTTTTTTTATTCCAATCTCATTTGATTGGAATAAAATACAATTTAAAATGAAGTCGGAATGTAAAGTTACTTTTTCATCACCATTGAAACTACGAAGGGTGATTAAACAAAAGGCAGTTTAAGTTTAAGACTACCTGTACACTTTATTTTCTATATTACAAAATATATAATAAGAGCATCGGCCTTTGTTTACAGTTAGTACTAATAAACAGATAGCTTCCAGGATCAAAGATTATGTGGTCACTATTAAGAGCTATGAATAACTTGTTTAATGCATATTCATTTTATCCTTCATCCCCCCTGCTGTCAGAACTGATGAATCTTCTTGAATGGGAAGCGAAATGTTTTCTTTTTCCTCAAGGAAAAAACAGTCCAGTTGCTTTTTGAAGAAAAAAGCACCTTTGAAGAGAGCTCAAAAATGATGTTTTCCAGCTTAGACTGAAAAACTCCACTAGAGGGAGAGCAAACATAAGATAGAAGATTGCTATATTAGCTTGTGGTGGCCCAGCTTGTCTGCCTATGGTTGACTTAAATCAAGTTCACTGAGTTAACCCAGTTGTTCAGGCTTGCATAAGATGGTGACGTACAAACCAGGATAGTACCATATTCTAGCAATGCCTGTTGTGCAAACCCGGCCACAGCTAGGATTTACGGAACGTCATTGTTGGGAAATAGGAGCTGCTTCTCAGCAACTTTTTAGCCGTTTTGTTTTCCAAAATATTTTTTTCATTAGGGGCACAGACCAGGAAGACCGGGGAAGATTTTGCTTATGTAGATTGTTTTAAGATACCAAAGGGAATTTTAACTGTTTGGGAATTGGAATGCAGAAGTGAGTCACATCTAAGTAAACAGTGAATAGAACTGCAGTTTACATAGAACAGGGTGAAGGTTGTGGTTGTACTCCATATTTTTGTCAACTGCTTGGAAGAAGGTCCCAAAATGCAGCTTTTTATTATTTTATTTGCTTTATTCAATTTTATGCTGCTCATTTTCCCTGTGACTCTGGGTGGCCTTTTAAACTTGCCCTTTACCCAAATGGTGAGAAATGCTGTTGGTACTTTTGCTCTGGCATGTTTAGGGTTTAAAAAAAAGTTTTTAAAGGGATGTGTTATATACATAGATCAAGCGCAAAAAGCAAGCACATTTTTTTTACTCTTAAGAGAATGGGATAGAATAGAATGACAGAGTTGGAAGGGACCTTGGAGGTCTTCTAGTCTAACCCCTTGCACAGGCAGGAGACCCTACTACACCATTTCAGACAAATGGTTATCCAATCTCTTCTTAAAAGTGTCCAGTGTGGGAGAATTCACAACGTCTGAGGCCAAGTTGTTCCACTGGTTAATTGTTCCCACTGCCAGGAAATGTCTCCCCATTTCCAAGTTGCTTCTCTCCTTGATTAGTTTCCATCCATTGCTTCTTGTCCTGCCCTCAGGTGCTTTGGATGAAAGGTGTCTTAGTAGTTTAGCATAATAAAGTCACCAAACAGGGATAGACAATTGACAAATTGCACTGACATTTTATTTCAATAAATCGTGTATTCCAAACCACAAAATGTTAAAGTTGCAATTGAAAACATTTGGAAACGAGGTTTATCGTACTAAAAAAAAAAAGTTCTGCCAAGAGACAGGATGCCACATCTGCAGCCATTAAAAAACTTCAACTGCAAAGAGTGTTTCCCATTTTTTTTATTTTTTTGGCAACCTCCCCCCTTGTAACATCTTTGCTCTCTTCCATTATAATACCCTTTTAGTGCCTTTGCAATAAATAAATATATCATTCCCCCATCAGGATTTTTTTTAATAAAATATACAAAATGCTATACATCTTGTTCCGAAAAAGGACCAGCTATTTCGGGTAAAAGATTTGAACTGACATAACGCACAAAAAAAAAAAAAAAGATCATGTAAAACTGACTGTTAAATGTAGGCTGGAGTGAAACATCTTGCGGTGAATATACTTTTTAAAAAGTCACGGTTCATAGAATGTAAATGGCCAGTTGGATGTCAGAAACCTTAAAATGTGACTCTTAAGTTACAAGCAGTCCTCAACTTAACTGTTCGTGTAGTGACTGAAGTTACAATGGCACCGAAAAAAGTGACTTATGACCGTTTTTCACACTTAAGAACATTGCAGCATCCAAATTTGGATGCTTAGCAACTGATTCATATTTATGACGGCTGCAGTGTCTTAGAGTCACATGATCACCTTTTGTGGACCTGACAAAGTCAGATTCACTTAACAACCATGTTATTAACAACTGCAGTGATTCACTTAACTATTGCGGCAAGAAAGGTGGTAAAATGGGGCAAAATTTCCTTAGCAACAGAAATTTTGGACTCAAATTGTGATCAAAAAGTTGAGGGCTACCTATACAAAAGGACAAAGGCTGGAAACTTAGTTGAAACCGCCCTTAATGGCTATCATTATTGTACAATATTCCCGCTCAATGGCTGTTGAGATTTGAAACTTTCTGATCCAGGAACGTGGGCAGGGAATGTATACATAACCCTGTTTGCCTACAGCTCAATATAGTTTCTATTAAATATGTGTACAAGGGAAGAAGTAGCATCTTTCAGGCTAGGAAAAGGATAGGCAAATATATCCTCTAGCCAAATATATCCTGTACATTCAGGGTAATTGTTTCATAAACTATGATATCCTAAGACTGAATCTTCGTTGTCTTCTTGTGTGAGATTTCCCACCGTCTCAGTAATAGCTTTAATGTAATTAGCAAGCTTAATGCTATTCTAGTATTTGAATGAGACAAGAAATATTCAACACAGTCTATAAAATTCCCCTCTCTTGTTCACCCTTTGCCCTGCCCGTTGACCAGCCTAGCAATACTGGCAAGCTCTGACATTTGGCAGTTCTTGCTAAGCTGTGCATTATTGACTTTAGCTTACACTTCCTTATTTACATCGCCAGCAGTACCACCATAAAAGTGGGGTTTGTTTCCTGAGTCTGCATTTGAACATTCAAGATGAGTGAAAGGTTGACTTAGAGAAAGAAGAAGGAGAAGGAGAAGGAGAAGGAGAAGGAGAAGGAGAAGAAGAAGAAGAAGAAGAAGAAGAAGAAGAAGAAGAAGAAGAAGAAGAAGAAGAAGAAGAAGAAGAAGAAGAAGAAGAAGAAGAAG